TTTGTTGTAGTAATTAAAATTTTATGAAAATTTATATCTGATCTACATTTATATAGTACTATTTACAGTAAAATTTTTAAGACTCTAGCATTTCGATTCAAAAAGTTAAGAGGGGTGGGCTACTTATGATTCCTACTGTATTCATGAATAAAGTATTCTATTTTCAGCTGGAATTTTACGGCAAAGATTAATTATATGATTGGTCATTGTTTCTTTACATGCTTCAAATATTTGGTTACAATATATGCACTTTGTATTATATTGTCGAGCTTTATCATTTTTAAATTCTTTTGAATGCAAGAAACCCGTCCAATATATACCAAAATTCTTAGATGGTGTAATAAAATCATTATTTGAATCTAAAATATTGGAATCCAAAATATCAGAATCCATAATATCAGAATCCATAATATCTTCAGAACCCATAATATTCTCAAAATCCATAATCTCTTGAGAATCCATAATTTAGAATTTATAACAAGAAAAGGAAACCTTTACGCAAATATGGTATTAATCTTTAAGGGTTACTTAGATTATAAACAAGTAGGCACTAATTTAAAATCTTGTAATTAAAATATTCAATTGGATAGTGTGTTAAGAATTTGGGTTTCAAGAGAATTTTACTTTTAAGTATTAAAGACAAGAAGAATAGTTTTTACAAAATAACTATTTCTACTTTTATACAATTTAAATCAATTAACTTACTAACTATTTTATTCTAAAGTTTCTTTTAGAAACATCAACTCCTTAATACAAATTCCTCTTGATTTTGGATCTAATATCCGATGCATGATAAAAATAATACTATGTAATAAATAAACAAATAAAAAAATAATAAGTTGATGAAAAAAAAAGATGATAAAACTTTTTACAAGATCATTTTGCCTACTTCTTTTATTCATTTTACACAATTTACTATTTTGTTCTTGGATTTTTTTTTTTTAGAACGATCAACTTGATATGTATAATTCGATCAAATATCCAATGCATAATGAAATTAATACTAATAAATAAACAAATAAACAAATAAAAATAAACAAATAAACAAATAAAAAATAATAAGGTAATGAAATGAAACAAAGAAAAGATATGTAAGTAGAATCCTTGTTCTTTGATTTTTTTTTTAGAACGATTAACTTTTGATATATATCATTTCTTGATTCTGGATCTAATACCCAATGCATAATGAAAATAATACTAAGCAATAAATAAACAAATAAACAAATAAAAAATAATAAGGTAACAAAATGAAAAAAAAAGCATGTAGATAGAACCTTTTTCTCACGATTATACTAGAGATATTATAGTTTGGTTGATTTTGGTTTCAATTTAATAAAGCTAGTTTAGCCTTTGGATCATGGATTGGATTAAGCCTCAGTCTATTTAAAGCCCTTTGATTAATTATTTAATATCATGTAGTGGAAATAAGCACTAATATTTTATTAGCACAGATTCTATTTTACTGATAGTTATTATCTGATGGTTAATTCTAGCCAATATTAATTCTAAAATTAGGCTGACTTTAACTTAAATTATGTTAGCCTCAACTGCAGGCAAATAATTATCAGGGGAAATGTGATTTACTGAATTCGTTTAATAAATAATTAATATTAATTAGCATATGTTATAATTCTAATTTCTGAAAATTAATAAAGAAAAGTGGTTATATGGTTAAAGGTTTGTATAATCAAAAAATATGATAATAAGAAAATTTTAAGGAAGTTTAAGAAATAGCGATAAATAGACATGATAATAATAAGGGCAAGATAACAATGGCAATCAGAAATTATATATTACAATTATATAAAATTCAAATTATTTATGTTTGAATAGTTAAGTTATTTTAAAAGATTATAGTACTTACGAATGAATTAATTTCAATAAAGTGAAATTAAAAAATGTAAAGCATAATAAATATTATAAATTCAAAAGCTTATATTTAAATTGGCAAGATATTTGCATATTAAAACATGTCAGCATATGAAAACTGACATGATGGTTTAAAGGAATTTAAATATCTAATTAAAAAAATCTTTATATCTGTGGTTTGCCATAATAGCACTTATCAATAACTCTGGTTATTTAGTAATTGCAATTATTATAAACTACACCTAGTAAATGACACTGTTATTTTATTCAACACAATTAATCACGTGTTATTTAGCTAAAGAATTTAATATTTTAGTCCTTAGAACTTAGAAGCTATTATAAAGAACATTATTCTATATTGAAATGCGATATTTGTACAATGCAAATAAAAATCTTTAAGCCAAACAATAGTAAAAAAATAAATAAATATAATTGGCTCGCCACTCTTGCACCACATTTATATTGGCATGCCAGATGGTGCACCATTTTGGTGCACCATTGGCGTCGCAAAGTGCTCTGCACTAGCAACCCTATATACATGTGTGCCTAAATTATTTTTGGCTTGCCATAAATAAAAATTGCCGAAAATATTTTAGGCACCTAAACTGTAAATAATATTGGCTGCTTAAAATATTTTCGGCTGCCTAAAATATTTTTGGCTACCTAAAATATTTCCGGCTACCTAAAATATTTCCGGCTGCCTAAAATAATTTCGGCTATCTAAAATAATTTCGGCTGACTAAAATGGTGCAGCTGTTTTCATAAATTCTGGGACACTCTAAAAAAATTTGCCGAAATTTATTCGGCCGAATAAGTTATTGATTTCAGTATAATTAGTGCGTGATCAATATATAAAAAAATTATTGAGTTACTATTACAGCAATGTCAACTCTTTCAATACTTTATTAAAAATTTTTTTACCTTATCCAATATGTATGACACAAAAATTTATGCCAAAAAAAAAACAGTTCTTACCAATTAATAGATCCTCACTAAAAAAATTTTGAATATAAGTTGGACTTCTTAATAAACATATAAACAGCTTTGAATTTAAATGATCTATAAATAAAAACAAAATTTTTACTTCAAGCTCGTTTTGATGAATCTTTTTATTATATAATTATCTTTGAAAACTTATAGTATAGCAAATTTGTTTATTAAAATATACTGTATCTATATGTCATATCTATTTGCACTTATAAGGGTTTTGGCTCGATCTACTTAGTCAGAGCACTTACTTTGGCACTGGCATATCATACCAGGCACTACCACCTATACTACAGTGTATATACTGAGTCGTGTATTCACTAAGTGTTGTGTAGTTAATGAAGAGCCCTTGTACTATGTAAAAGGTACACAAATTGGTAACAAAATGGTTAATAGTAAGATGGGTGAACGAAGATGTGAATCAAGCGACTCACATGATCATGTAATCGATCGGAGTCGAGGTATGAATTAAGGCACATGTAAGATCGGGTATGATAGGTACCTTAATCATTGAGTATATGAATATGATGATTAGGATGGGGACAATAAAAAGTTTAATTAATTAATAACAAAGAAATAGTTAAACTGTAATACAAAGTATGTAATTGAATCGCTTAAATAACAAGTTGTAAATAAAGAATAAAACAGTCTTTTCGACTGAGAATTATTGAGTAATAAACAAATAGTTAAAGTAAATACCTTCATGCAAAATAGTGTACTGTGTATCATCATTAAAGGAGGAGTGTGTGTCTCTCAAGCCAAGCAAGACTATAATAATATTGAACAAACCATCTGGGGTAGATAGCAGTTACTACAGTGATTGTATAACTCTTTGACACTAAGAGACTTGTTATTAATTAGAACTTGCTTATTGATTCCTTTGGAATCGATATGCTTTTATTAGATTATCAATCTGGGTACTTGATTACTTGGATTACACACATTATGCAACAATACAGATAGACTTTTAATTAAATTCATGCATCAACGATCATGCTATTGACATTACCTAGTTCTGATCGGGTAATCTGTGATCATACCTAACCCTAGCACTATTAACACAAGGGGTGTTGGTCATTATTATGACACTATACAAAATCATAAAAAAAATTTGAAAATTTGTCTTTTTTAATATGTAACACTCCGAGTAGATATTAAAAAAAATTAAAAGGTTAAATACGATTAGGAGCTGTAAAAAAATACAACAATCAGAGGTTAAGAATTTATTAATATTTGCTGACGATGTCTTAATAATTATAATAAAGTTCAAAATATATAATATTTATTTAAAATGATAGTAATTCATCAACACAGCCAAACCTTTGAAATTGGTTGAGAACTTGACCTATAGAAGACCTGTTAACACCCAAATGTTTAGCAATTACTTTAACTAAAGCCTTCTAAATTCTTTTAACTATTTTTCAACTAATATGTTTTGAAAAATCATAATAATAAACACATATGTATTATGAATTTATATATGTGTAGCACCAAAATCAATAGCTTATCGAATTCGGCCAAATAGATTTCGGTAAATTTTTTAAGATGTCTCAGAATTTATAAAAACAGCTGTAAAACACTATTAAAAAGCTTAATATATGTGGCATATTGGCAAAAAAAAAAAGATCTTTATAAAATTTTAATACTGCATATATTACAAGCTTCCATAACCAAACTACTAAATTCTAACTTTAAAGAGCTGTTAGAATGATTTTATAATACTAAC